TTAACCTACTTACTATTATGTGGCTTAAGTTGTTTGATCAAGACATTTTATACACAATCGCAACGTATGTTTTATGTTAAAAGTTCTCGACTAATTTCGTATTTGTTTATTTATTTCACTTTAAGTTGTGTCAGTTATAATCAAAGCAGCAGTAGAGGTCCTTGTGAAAGCGTTCATCCAGGGAAGTACTGCCACCACAGAACAATAAATACAGTAGAAGTGGTTAGTTACAGTCAGACGCGTGCCAACTATGTATAGGTTTCGAGTAACCTATCGAGCTCAGTCCGCCACTTTCGCTTTGTATGGTATGGTTGTGTCAGTGTCATTCTTTCGTGCAAATTCTCTAAAATCCTAGAAAAATGCCTTATTGTGCTGTTTTAAAGTGCAAAAATGATAGCTGCACCAAAAAATTACCCGTAGTGGTATTTCATATCATCGGAAAGACTGATTTTATAAATTTTCAATTTTCTGTTAATCGAAATAATTTTTTTGTTATATGAAACGAAAGTAAAGCTTATACCCTGCAATGTGGTCGCTTTATGTTTGAAGAACTAAATTAATAAATCCAATTCGTCGTCGTTCAGCAATGAACAACTAGATGGCAGCACATTGATTGAAATTTCAATATAATATCAAAACGTCGTAACTTATAATAATAGGTATTGATGTTATCGAATTTTCAACGATATGCCAACAGGGTAAAGTTTAAATTATATTAATGATCAAGAATTTGTTAATTTGATTTTTTAGAGCTTCAAATTAAGAATGTGTGAGTTTTGGCAACATCGGTTCTGATAGTAATCGAGGCTTAAGGCACTTCTATTGCTTTTTTTTTCCTCCGTAACTGCCACCATACCCATTTCTGCCACCAAACTTTAGCAAACATTACCGCGTTCCAGTTTTGAAAAGTCCTGGTGAAATTACAGGCTGGGATTTGTGACCTTATTATCCATATTAAGAGAATTTATGAGATATTGGTACTTATTTCTAAGGCCAAGCAGTAATATGAGTACTACTGCGTTCCGGTTTTGAATGGTATAGGTGATGATGTAACAACAGACACAAGAACGTGCACAGGAAATAAAAAAAATAACAATGACATTTTACAAAATTAGATTTGAGATTAGTAAGATAATTCAATTTTTTTCCACAAGCGAGCTTGCAAAACAAATACATATCTATGATTATATACGTCATACTTTAAAAACCAGTTTCTACTAATTTAAATTAAAGAGAAATAATTTTTTGAAATAGTTTTTCGGCCCTGGTGTAAAGTTCTATTTTTCGAGATACGACAAGATTGCTTTCCGGCGTCGATATACACAACAAACCTAAAAAAGGTTCATCATCACTTCAGCCAAAAGACGTCCACTTAGTTGGACATAGGCCTCTAGAAAAAATCACCACAACGGCGATTTTAGTAGCAATAGAACTCCATCTGAAAGTGTCTGCCGCCAAGCAGTAATGTGAGCATTACCGCGTTTCTTGAAGAGTAAGGATGCTGGTGAAATCACGGGCACATGGAACTAATCAACTTAGGTCTCAGAGTGACGGGCGTAGTGGTAGTGCCCCTCTAGATCTTTGTGATTTAAAGCACTGAGAGGCATTGCAACTGTTTTAGACAGGCGTGTCGCTAACCACCACCAAGTGACGGGAACAGGTGCACGACTGTTCCCGTCACTAGGTATCAAAAAAAAAGAAAAACCAGTCTTGCGCTGCTCACATGCAGAGGATTGTCGCAATCTTCAACAGATCTCATTTCTAAAGACTGCCTATACCTAATTCTAATTATAAAATGTTCATTTTTAACCCTCGGTCATGGCTTGAAAATCTAATCTAGAGTTTTATTTAACTACAACCTCTTTATTCCAAAATGCCAATAGATGGCGTGGTTGTCGAAATAAAACTCGCAAGCGTTTTGCTTAACTTTAAACTATAATATAATAATATGCATGTTATTTGTAATAGTTAGTCTTTAATACTAGTTTGTCATACATCGGTTGTTTCTTTTTGAGGCCCTTTCTTGACAATTAACTTGACAGCCAATGGTCCCTCGAACTGGATACGGGTTCATAAGAACATTGTTATCATAATTCAACGTTTTTTTAACGTTTCTCCAAATATGTCCATGGGGTTTACGTTTGACATTGGTAGTCCTTATACATACACAAACAAAACCAAATACCTTGCACATGTCTCTTATTAAACTGGATTATATAATGGTCTTAACTCGATAACGAGGTAGGGCAATGCGAACCACATTTCTCGAACGAGTGAATTTAATTTGGTTTTAACTGAAATACTGTACATAACACTTTATTCAAAAGCAGAACCCCGAAACTGTTTCAACGCAATGCAATACAGTAACAACAATACAATAGATAGCTTTTGTCACCTGCATATTACCGTTATGTTGTTGAAGCGTGACTACCATTTCGTGGAACATTTAGAATAGCCTGTAACAACTTTTATTATTAACTTTAAAGTTGCTTAATTGATAAACAAGAGCGGTAGTAGCTTAGTCGTAGAACGGTGGTTTCTCTATGAGATGTGTAGTTTAGTTCGAATGTCTATGGTGACATGTAGCTATATACTTTAATTTGTATTACATTAGATGGTACCCACGACCTTCTACTTGATCATACTTTCTTCTTCATCCCCTATTTCACCTCCTTTAAGATTTATTTTTGTGACAATTTTTGTGTAACAGACAGACTTTCACATTTATAATGTTAATTTAGATTTACAACGCGTATACACTCATAACGCGTACACACTCATAGCCCCGCACTAGGGAAATCCTGTATCGTTGGTGCCATGGATACACATATAGACAACCACAAAGTATACCCAAACTCAAGAGAGAAATAAACGTAGGCCACACAAATATTTCTCCCGGCCCGGGATTCAAACCTCTGCGTGGCAGTCCAGCATGGTAACCGTTCGGCCACGGAGGCAGTTTATGAATGTTTAGTAGTAATACCTCTCGCAGATCGTGATGAAACTTACACGTCGAAGAAGATTTACAAATCTCAGAAAACGTGTGAACTCCACAACCTGCATTGGGCCAGTGTGGCGGAATATGGTCTAAATACTAGTCTGAAAGAAGACCAGTGTACAACAGTGGGTCGTATAAATGATAGGCAATGAAACTATTTTTTCGTATCTAACTCTCGTACTTATACGACTGTATTTGTTTTTTCAAACAAACCAACGTTTCGGGCCCTTTACAAGTCCCTTGGTCATCGTCAACTGGGACGAGCGATTTCAATCCGAAAGTATTATATAAATAGTTTCATTTCCTATGTGTAAAAATCGCAAAAACATAAGAACTCGAGATGATGATAATGTCAAATTAAATTTGTGACAAACAAAATTTTAAATTGACTTACCATATTCGTAAGGTTTGACATTTAGATCAATCTTGTGTAATGGCTATGCATAACGATTCAAGCTCACAATAAGCGATTTTGGTATTATAAATCGTTTGAATCATGGTTAAAATTGCAATAATAGCTAACTCGTGTCCTTGAAGGAATTTTATGAAATTTAAACATGACTCGTAATATAACGACATGAAAGTCGAATGACGTGAGTATCCGTTTTACTTTCTGTACTGGTATAACAAAATCCTCGTAGATAAAGTTTAATATCGACGGTTGAGAGATTTTTTTTATATAAAAAATACCCAAAATATACATCTCACCTGATGGTAAGTGACGATGAGGTCGACGATGTGGCATGCACACCTAAAAAAACCTATTCACTCTCGCCATGAAAAGGTCCAAGTTATAGCGTTCGGAGAATAAGTCCGAAGGCAGGGAATTCCACTCTCTAGCCGCTCGCCATATAAATGTGGAAGCGAACTTCTTCAACTGGGAATATCCACAACATAGGGGTGGATCCCTAGCCCACGTATATCCCTCGATGATGTAAAGTGGAAGGCGGCATCAAATTATACAATTCCATCGCACACTCTCCGTGATATATTCTGTAGTATACCGATATTAGCAACTTTACGGCGTTGTTCAAGGCTTTCCAGCTTAGCTTAGGTTGAATATAAGTTATACCTAATTAAGAAATTCGTAAGATGCTGACTCGGTCTATGGCCTCGGCAAGCCGGCAACAGACACTGGTTCCAAATCAGTCAGAGCCAAGGAATTTTCCTGTGTGTTGTTCGATCTTTGTATCAGTAATAATTACAAACCAGTGGAGTATTTTCACAAAAAATATTAATGTCACGGTAGTAAAACTTCATTCTATAAATTTTCTATTTCTACTTAATTTAATGACTTTCCATCATCGGGGGACCAGACGTAGGCTAACGTTCCACGCCTATGATGTGGTATTCCAAGAATTCGCATGAAGCGTTTCGCTTCCACAATATATGGCGAACAGCTATAAAGAGGAATTCCCTGCCTGCAGACTTATTGCCTGAACGGTATAAAAAAAAATTTATTAATTTTAATTTTCAATTAGTATATTTGTGACGTCCACTGTGTTCCGTGCCGCACGAATCATCGCCGAATCCACTGAAAATCAGCGTCGTACCACATTTTAAGTGAGACGGCAATAGCTGAGTGGATGACGGATTCAGTGGCTGCACAGCACACATCCTGTCTCCCTTATCTTTCTTTCTTCTATTTTTTATGTTTTTGTTTTGTTTGTAAATTGTATGTGTGCTGTGCTTTACATTGAATAAATAATTTCTATTCTATTCTATAACTTGAGCCTTTTCAAGGCGAGAGTGAATAGGCATTATTTAGGTGTGCATGCTCCATTGACTCGACTTCAACGAAACTTTCTAGGTGAGATGCAAATCAAATGCGCAATTATTTAAAAAAAAATATTAAAACTTACATTGTACCTATTTATTACATTTTCACAAATTATTTGTTTGTGATGTAGTACGTATTAGGAATGATTTTCGTCAAGTAGTCACTATATTTAAACAAAAATGAAAAACCATATGCTTACGTTTTATCTTCTCGTCTTTCCAGATGTCTGTCCGCCCCAAAAATAATGGAACATCAGCACAGCAGATCAGCATCGCCGCGCGACGCGCCGCGCCCACAACACCGGCCCCCCTCGCCACCCACGCCCCCTGAAGGCTTCGACAACCGCGCTTACCAACACGACGAAGATCATAACCACAATGACTCCTTCTCCTCCCACGTGCCACAACACCACAACAACAGTAAAGAACCAATTGCGGAAACCAAAGCGCTAGAAGCTGTCAATTTGGAATTGATAAACTTGTCCCCTAAGAATGGGAAAAAGAAAGATGTTGACGTTGAAATGAACGCTTCTAACCCCTACGACGAGTACTTCGTGCCTGTTAATGAACATAGGAAATACATGAGGTAAGTTTTACTTCTAGTATACATATAAGTAACTGAAGATAAAAACAAATGACAGGTCATCAGAATCTCATTACAATATCTCTGGGAACCATTGCTTACACAAGTTGCAGTACACTACCTACATTGTAATGATATTCTCGCCTATCTATAGTACTTCGATATGATGCTAAACTAAGATCTAAACAAATTTCTATAAGTGTTTTTGGAAAAAGTCTACATGTCCATGACAGTCACCTTTTTTCAATTATAACCGCTCTCGTCAATCTCATTTCGCATTTACTGTTACCAAACAAACCACATTGTGTTCAACATTTGTGACCGATATTGGGAACAATAGTTTGACTAATATAGTTTGAAAACGCGGCGCGCCGGTACGTACACGCACAGTGGAGCTAAAGAAGTGCCCAGTTTCGCACTTTAAATCAGACTGTATCCTGGTCGGCTAATTTAACGGTTCAAAAATCCCACGATCGATAATTTTACCCCTATCCAATCTGCATTAAGTTTCCGCTTCAATAACATGCTTAATTACAAGGAGGCATTGTCATTAAGAACTCTGTCCGCGTCAAATGAAACCGACCAACGTCTAGGAATACGTCTGTCGTCGGCGTTCCACATGGGTGATGAACGAATTGTATCTGTTTTATCGATGTAAAATGTTATTTACGTAAACCAACCACTATTGGTTTCATATTTTGTCCGAACTAAAGGGTATTTTGAAATGTGCTAAATAACCACCGTTAAAATTTAACCAATTCCATTAATCTAAAGGTTTGTCTGAGACCCCGAAGCGAGACCTACGAGCCAGCGCAAGATGGCAGACTGGAAGGCAGGGGATATTAAATTTATCAATGTATATTTTATCCTACGACAACTGAAATGTGGTATAAATTGCTATACTCTTGAGACCGACCATAGACATAGCGACGCATTTCTCTTTGCGACTTTAGAGCACTGAAATTTAAACCTTATTACTGTGCGTTCCAATCTGCCGGCTTTTGCTGGCCGTACCTGTGCATTCAAAGCTCTTAGTTCTTATTTCGAAATGATTTCTTAAATCGGTCCATCTTCACAATAGAAAAAAAAGTATTCATGCAAGTCATTGTTTGGTTTTGCGACCGGTTTCCAAGCACAACAAAGTAGCCTTCTGTTTCGCCAGACTTCCCCATAATCTTCAATCTGAAGGATCATTATCTTAAATAACGAGGAGCTTCTTGGGATGCTTAAACAAGTCTGCCAAAATACCATTCCTTCGAGTTTAAACAACCTTGAATATAATTTTGGCAAGACACTAAAAAAACAATAAGTAGGAACCGTTACGGCAAAAGAACAAATTCTTGCGGGGGCCAAAGCCTTTAGAGTAAATATATGCCTCAGGCCTAACTTAACGTGTAGTAAAGTAACGTGAGAAAGCTCTTTCCCTTTTCGGCTTCTTGCAAAATACCCCAAAATTACTACCTAATTTCTGAATACCTAAAATTATCTGCAATAAAGGTTCACTTGGTCTGCAATTTTAGTTGCAAGGACAACGACAGATAATGGACACGATATTCATTCTTTGCTTATTAAATTGTACGAACAACAATTGCACATTTTCTTACATAACAATAACTTGTAGCTGCGATTCCCAAAGTTATAAACCGCACATTTTCTAATCAATTTTGAAGAACTCTAAAGGCAATACCCTCAATATCATTCCGGCAAGAAACCGACAACTCGCTGTCGTCAACTGTTGTACGCTATATCTATAATATTACACGCTATATGGATTTTAGGGCAAATCTCGAGCCAATTACCCAATATGTTAATCTACAGCGCTCTTACTAATAGTGACAAGCCTTCACAACAATGTGGGCTGGTCCTGTCACGGCGGGAATGCAGCTCGCCTGCTCGCCATCAGGATTATGCAACTCGGTTACTGAACTATGACGTCACTAAATATTTTACTTGAGTATAAGATTCATCGTTCTAATTTTGATAGTAGAAGGACACATTTAAGGAAGGAAACATGTGACTACAGATATATATATATTTTTAAATTTTACTTTCTTTTGGCATGTCGTTTTTCTCCTCACAGTCTTATTCAGCTTTCAAAAGCGGACATAATCCAGTGATGGAACAAGTTTAATAGGAGCTACAGCTCAAGAAGGAGTTGCCCTCAAAAATGCCTAATACTTTTTTATGACGGAGGAAATCTTTAAAAGATGGGACCATGGGAGGAAAACATTCTTTATTTTCGAGTTCTTAGATTTTCGCGATTGTTACATAGGAATTTGTTTTTTCAAATAAACCTTTAGTTTAAAAAAACAAATATACACGATTTAAATCCGGAAAAATAGTTTCATTTCCTATGCATTATTTTTCGCAAATAAAAAGGGACATATCTTTTTTCATAAGTAAGTATATACCCAATTATTTGGGTAAGCAAGGTGTTTCACCAAACAGCCTTTTCATGTATTAGGATCTCCTGCGTAACGCAATCTAGGCTTTTTACCGTTTCAGGCCCCGTGGCTAGTGCAAGTTTAAAAAATTAGGAGTGGGCCAGTATATCAATGCATATGTGTGGCATGTCATTTTGTTTCGCAAGACTGCATCATGATTAGACAGAGGACACTTAATAATAATAAATCATTCCGGGACACGTTTCAGGAGTACTCCTACTGGAAAGAATTTAAAAAAACTTAATTTCCTAAATTGATTCTACCGGAAATCATCCACTCCTCATCCAGCGCCCACAGTCTACCTTGTTATTTTTTTATAATATCCAGTGACAGTGAGTTTTTTACAATATAAGTTGACAAGTCCCATGTGTCTGTAATTTCACCAATGTTAACAGCCACCAGAAGAGCATAAAAACTGAAGCTTTTCTAAGTTATTCCACGAAAGGAATGCGCTCATGAACTTTGGAATTTTAGACATGTACACGAATGAGAAAATACAGCTGACAAAGATACATATTTCTAAACATATTACTAATAAAACTTTCATAGATTTATCATAGGAGGCACTGCGGCAAACAAGTCGTTAAAACCAAAAACAAATATCTGCAACAAATATATAGACAAATTCGTAGTATCTACTGACTCGTTCCGTAGCTTTGTTGGGAGAGCGATAGCCCCGGTACGGCGGTATGGAGTCCAGAAGGATCAAAGGAATTTTTCTTGGTATTCGATGTTTGTATTAATAATTATAACAAACTAGTACACAAAAAATGTATAGTATGATAGTAAAACATTGCGTTATTCAACAATAAATCTAATGTTAAAGATACGTCTATCGAAATTACCTGATCCTTGAGCATTTCAAAGCACAACAAAAATTAATTATAATAAATAGTGTAATAATTTAAAAATTAAAGAGTTGGTATTTTATTCATAAAAGCGTGCGACCTTGAAATTCCGACGAAAGAGTAGAATTAAATATCAGTCGAATGGTAATCTTGCAGTCGTGAGAAAAATACGATGAATTATAATGAACACCAAAAATTTTAATAAATATTCATGCTACAAAAAAAATGGATAACGTTTAGTCAACGAGGCTAAAGGGACAAGAAAACACATGTGAGAAATTGTCAGAAGTCCTTTTGTCACATGAAAGTCATAATAATAATACATGAAACAAATTATACATTATATATGCCAAAATTGTATAACTCTTGTATTTAACCATGAAAAGGCTTGCTCTCTCTTAAAAAAAAGTCATTTTGCAAATGTACTTTGTTACACCAATATACGATATTAGCAGAGGTTTTTTTTTGTTTAATAAAAAATAAGCCACGGTCCACAATCGAGCTTGCACACCTAAATAATGCCTATTCACTCTCGCCTCGAAAAGGCCCAAGTTAGAGCATTCCGAGAATAAGTCTGCAGGCAGGGAATTCCGCTCATTAGCCTTGTTTTCTAGTGTGTGTTAATTTTTAATTTGTTCTCTACCATTACGGGCTATGGCAGAATAGCCCAGAAGGTTATGTACTCCGTAGACATCCATCGTAAGCAGCTAACTCCATTTTCTTTTCGTTTGTATCTCAAGGCTTGTATATAAGCCTAGTAAACGTCCGAAACTTTTAATTAAAATTTAGTAGCAGTAGAGCTCCTTGTGAAAGAGTTCATACAAGGTAGTACTGGCACCTTACTTATTACTGCCGCCAAGCAGTATTGTCAGTATTACTGTGTTCCGGTTTCGAAGGGTAAGGGTGCTGATGAAATAACAGGCACATGGAACTTGTCAACTTATCACGTTACAGGGTAAGGGGCGCAGTGGCAGTGCCCCTTAGATCTTTGGAATTTAAAGCTCTGAGGGCACTGCAATTGTTATGGACAGGCGTGTAGCGTACCATCAGGTGCACGACTTGTTCGTCCTGTCACTTAATATTATAAAAAGAAAATGGAAAGGCTTAGAAGGTTAAAATATTCACTACGGGAAAAAAGGTCAACCGTAATTGCGCTACATAAGTATCGACAACTATTACTTCCGCCGTGTAATTGATATTATTTCTCCTCCGAGGTAACAATTTTGGCGTCAATAGTGATTGTATTGTATTCATTCGAATAGTAAATGTTTTAGTGAGTCAGAACCTATAACTTTACAGATATGTTTTTTTTTATTCAAGGGAAACAAAAGTCATAAAACAGGTAAATGATACAAAAATATCGATTACAACAAGAAGACAAACATAAACAACAATTTAGCAAGTAAGCTACGGTTCAACTACATTCAAATACAACATAATAAACTAGATAATTGACTAACATCATGAACATTAGGTATAGTTCATTGTTATACGCAAATTAGATTTAAAAGACAAAACATTTCAAAATTACTTCTCTTACTTTCTTTTTAAAGCTATGTAAGGATAACCCAAGAATTAATTTATTATTTAAGTTTTTATAATAGAAATCCAAAGAGCGCTTAAAGATACCGTTTTTGGAGTAGTTTGTTCTACTAAATTTGCATGAGAAGGTAGCTTTAGAACGCAAGGAGGTGCAAGTCGGACCTCTCAA